GTATGTGAAATTGGCCCACTTTTTGCCCAGACACCTCTCCTTAGGCCATTGCTTTCGGTCACAAGGGCTCATCCCATTCACTGGCCCTGTGGATGACAAACCTGGCGGGATGGAGAGATCCACCCAGCAGGGCCATTGTCCACTGTGGTCCTGGCACCAGCATAAGTCAGCTGCCTCTGGACTGGCTAAGCCAGGCTCGTGATGTCTTGGACCAGACACTGCCTCCTGCCCACTAGAGACATGAAGCCCACCTGGGACCCTAATGGTGGTAAGACCAGTTCCTCAGTGTGCAGGGCTTTGGTCTGTCTGTTTTTTCTCAGGGCTTCCTCAGGGCATACTGGTTCCAGTAGGCAGGGCAGCCCAGGGACAGGAGAACTCAAGCTGGGTCTGGTCTGGAAGGCAGGAGTGGACACCAGGCCCCTCCTGGGAGCTGTGGGGAGTACACCAGGCCTCTGGTCCAGAGGCAGGGGGCTGCCCCCGCCAAGAAGCTGACAAGTGGGCAGGAGCCACCTCCTTCTGTAGGTCCCCACCCCCTACTGTTGGCTTTCCCTGGGGCTACTGGAAGATGAGGCCCCAGTCATTCTCCAGCTATGTCATTCCCCACCAACTGGCCTCAAGCTATTCCCCACCTTCCTAGGGAGAACTGTGGACAACTACTCCCTGCTTACACCAAATGAGGAACATGAACAGGCTTGGGTGCCCTGGCTCAGGGTCCATACAATGAGGCCAGTCTGTTGAGCAGGCCATGCCCAGCATGGCTCTGTGCCAGGAGCAGCTTGGTGGATGCTGGGCTCCAGGTGCCTGCCTCCCTGACCCTCCCACCTTGGCCCACTTGAGAAGACCACCACCCTGGGCAGGCCCTGAACAGCTGCCTCAAATCAAGTTATGGCTCTCAGCCAGGAATAGCACCAGTTAGGAATTAGTGCCTCCAGGATCAGCTCTGCCAGTGCCCAAGGGGTGGGGCTGCCAAGATTAGAAGCAGGGCTGCAGGGTGGGTACCGCCCTCTGAACCTCAAGGAAATTCTAGCCCCATGACCTCCCAGGGAGGCAGAAGCACTCAGCAAGGCAATTTGTGTGTTTTATTCCCACAAGACAGGCAGGGGTGGGGATGCTGAGCTGTGAGCCAGGCCGGGCCAAGGGGCCTTCCTCCGGCAGGAGTGCACGCCAGGTTCTCGGGTCTGCCCCACCAGCGGGCTGGTTTTTAGACAGACTGTCATGGGTGCCGGGTGGAAGGCTCCGAGGGGCACAGGCGGTGGGCTCAGATGGGGGGTGCACACTTGTGGAGCTAAAGGTAGCAGGGCAGGTCCTTCTCTATGACCTGTGGGAGAGGCAGGGTCAGAACACCTCTTCCCATGGCCCCACCCCCAGCAAGCTCCCTGGGGAAAGGCACCTACCAGGGGCTCTTCCATGGGACCATACCGCTTCACCACACAACCATTCTTGTCAATGAGGAACTGCCGAGATAGGCGGTGTTAACAGAGGAGGCCACCATGGGGCCCCTGCAAGAGGGCTGGGGGCAAGCAAGCAGCCCCACCTGCTGCCCCATTAGGCCCAGGCCTAGGGCCTCCTGGGGTGGGGGCACTGAGCTGGCCCTGGACACAGTCCTGGCCTGTTCTGCCCCCCAAAACCCTTCCTTACCTTGGTGAAGTTCCATTTGATGGCACTACAAAAAACGTGAGAAGTCATGAGGAGCCCCATGGCAAATGTAGCCCCCCCACAGCCCTGGGGTCCATCCTGCCCTGCCCTCCCGCCCCTCCACACTCACTTTCCCAGGATTCCCCTCCCCTTGGGCTGGACTTTCATCCATTTCCACAGAGGGTGGGCGTCATCTCCGTTCACACAGATCTTGCTATACATATCGAATTTGACATTATAGCCGGCTGCAAACTCTTTGATCTCGGCATTAGTCCCTGGCTCCTGTGGCAAGCAGGGGTGCTGGGGTGAGTAGGGAGGAGTGTGTACCCCATTTTGCTCCCCACATCCACCAGCGGGACCCTCTCCCCATGCCCACACAACAGGGACACCCAGGGACACAGGGGCCACACACCTGCCTCCCGAACTGGTTGCAAGGGAAAGCCAGGATCCGTAAACCGCACTCAGCATATCGGGCGTGCAGGTCGACAAGCTGAGTGTAGTTTACGTCTGTTTTGCCTCATTGCGAGGCCACGTTGGTGACGATGCACACGAAGCCCCTGGAGATGGGATGGGGTGGTCAGAGTCGCTGACCTGCCCTCTGCCTCCCCCACCTGGCAGGTAGGTACCCACCGGTACTTGTCCAGGTTAACCATGTGCCCGTCGATGTCCTTGGCTGAGAATTCGTGCATGGACTGAGCACAGCGCCAATCGTCGCGGGATGCGCACTGCAAAGCAAGGGGGCGGCTGATCGGCTGGTGGACTTTGAGGCGCGGAGACGCCGGCCCACTCGTCCAGCCTGTCGTCCCTACGGTTGGAGGAGATCCCAGGCGGATCCCTGCTGAGAAAGACAGGACCGTGGGGCAAGAAAAAGGTGAAGGCTTCTCAAAGGTGCACGCACCATACGAGCCGGGGGCATTTAACCGCAGACACCGAGACCCAGGGAGGGTTGGGGATCCCGCCAAGGTGCCCCAGTGGGTGGGGGGCGCCACCAGTGGGTGTGGGGGCCCCGCGCGCACCGGATCCTGATACTGGACACAACAGTCATTCTTCCAGGTCGTGGGCTGTGCCTGCGAGCATGCCCCACCTTCCGCCGCATTCTTGGGACAGGACACCTTCCGCCGGGGGCGAGTCCTCCTCCGGCCGTACGCCGGAGCCTTCCGCCGCCCGGGGATTCGGCGGCGCTGCCGCCGGCCCCGCAACCGGCGCCG